GTTTGGCAGGCCTGGGCTGGGGATTCGAACCCGCCACCTTAGGTGTATGTGGCTGGCGCCTTAGCCGCTTGAGCCACAGGCGCCGAGCCTGGAGTCTCTTTCTTAAGGCAATCTACTGCACAATGTCTTGTAGGAATTGGAACTGGGCAAACCAATAAAAAAATGCTGATATTCTGGCTACTACTGACATAAATTGTCCTTCATCTCTAACCCAGAAGAATAATGTCTTCTATGAGAATTCATGAAACTACAGCAAGCTAACCTGTTAACTTGCAAGTAGGTTATAATCTCAGATCTCCTTCAGTTCTTGACACTGACTATACTAGAAAGCCAGGCCCTACTATTAGTTTGCTTGCTGGATGACTACAATTAAAAAATAAAAATTATCTTGTTTGAGCCATTTCAAGGTTTTTTGTTTTTATTTGGTGACAGGATCTCATTCTATTGCCCGGGTTAAACAGTGGTGGCACCATTATGGCTCAATGCAACCTCTAACTCTTGGATTCAAGTGATCCTCTTGCCTCAGCCTCCCTATAGCTAGTTCTATAGGTGCATACAACTAACCTATGCTATGCTGCTCAGGCTAGTCTTGAACTCTTCGCCTCACATGATCCTCCCACTTTGGCCTCACAAAGTTGCAAGATTACAGGCAAGCCACCATGCCATACCTTCTTATTGTCTTCTTTTCTTTTTTCCTTCCTTTTTTCTTCCTTGCTATTCCTTTTTCCTTTCCCTCCCTCTCTTCCTTCCTACAGTCTATACTTTAATACAATCACCACTGCCTATGCACAGGAATAGGTTTGCTGTATCAGTGAATGGAATAATTAATGACCGCATTATCCTTGACCTCTGCATCTTTCACTCCCTACATCAATAAGTTCCTACCTCTTAAATGTCAGTAGGATTTGCCCCATTTTTGTCCATCCTCACGGCCACTGACTTTAGAATAGGTTGTCACCCTGTTTTTCCTGGATCACTGTAACTGCGTGCTAACACTGTAACTTCTTTCTCCTTTCCCAGCCTCATTTCCCTCAAGTCCTTTCTTTAAACTGCAAGCAGAAGGAGATTGCTAAAATTCAAATCTAAAGTCACTTTCTTTTTTTTGAGACAGAGTCTCACTTTGTTACCCTTGGTAAAGTGGGCAACATCACAGCTCAAAGCAACCTCAAACTTCTGGGCTCAAGCGATCCTCTTGCCTCAGCCCCCCAAGTAGCTGGGACTACAGGCGCCCACCATAACACCCAGCTATTTTGAGAGACAGGGTCTTACTCTTGCTCAGGATGGTCTCGAACTCGTGAGCTCAAGCAATCTGCGCCTCAGCCTCCCAGACTGCCAGGGTTACAGGCATGAGCCACCATGCCCAGCCTGATGTCCCTTTCTTGTTTAAAATCCTCTAAGGCTTCCACTGTGCCAAGATTTCAAGATAACATCCATAATACTAACAAGAAATACAAGGTCCTTGCTTATCTTTCCAATTTCATCTGCAGTCCCTTCCCACCACACTCCCTAAATATCAGTCTTACAGAATACTCCCCAAAAGTGACATCTCTCCATTACCTCCACGCCTCTCTGCCCTCCTAAGACACTCTTCCTTCCCCTGTTGCCTACCTACCTGTGACTTCAAATACTGGTTTTGATACTACTTCCTACAAGAAGCCATCCTTAGCTATATCTCCTCCCTCTAACTAGATTATTCTTATTAAACATTGTGTCACACTATTTTACTCATCTACATCAGGCACGAGACTGATCCTTTGAAATAAAAACTGTCTTATTCAGCAACCTTGGCACCTTGTTAGTGCTTAACAGAGTAAATGACTGACTAAAGTTCTGTAATCCACCTACTGACTCTAATTCCCCTTTTTGAGCCATTACTTTGAAACTTTCTCCCATAAGATAGGGCTTCAAATGTTGAAAGTATCTCTTCCCAGGGCTAAACATCCTCACTTCCTTTCATTGGTCTTCAAACGGCAGTGTTCAGGCCTGGACTTTTCCATCCAGACCACCACCTTTCAAAATATCATAATCAGAACTGATTAAATCTCACCAGCTATAATCTGGCCAGCAAAAAATATAGAGAGCCGCTTACTGTCTTGTTCAGACACTTCATTTCTAATAGCACATGTTTTAAGCAAATATTTTAACCAGGTGCAGTATCTCGCACCTATGATCCTAGCATTTTGGGAGGCTGAGGCAGGTGGACCACTTGAGCTCAGGAGTTCAAGAATAGCCTGACCAAGAATGAGACCCATCTCCACTAAAAAAAAAAAGAAAAGAAAAATCAGCCAGGCATTGCAGCACGAGCCTGTAGTCCTAGCTACTTAGGAGGCTGAAGCAAAAGGATTGCTTGAGCCCAGAAGTCTGAGGTTGTTATGAGCTAAGCCAACGCCATGGCACTCTAGCCTGGCTGACAGCGTAAGAGTCTATCTCCAAAAAAAAAGGCAAATATTTCTCTGGGCTACTTCTTTCTGTAACACAGCAAATATGATAAACATTTCAAAAACCTACCAGACTTTCAATAAGAATTATATCAAGCATCAGCTAAACCAGCTCACAGAGTAACACTGTATTAAGTAGGGCAAGAATCTTCTCTGTATGCCCAAGGAGAGTGACTTAATGACAGGATGTAGCATGGTTATGATAGACAAACCAAGTTTCCAGAAGGCCAAAGACAAATAAGATTCAGTTGAAACTTGAATGTGTTGAGGCCAGATACAGATCTAAGAGAATGCTGGCCGTTAAGAGACACGAGCACTTAAACTAGAAGACAAAAAAGCCAAATGATCTAGTTCTATTCTTCATCTGTTTTTATTTTATTATAAGGATAATTAAATCCCAAATTTCATTAATTTATAAAGTGTAATTCAAATGCAAGACATTATAAAACTCAAAATTTTTTCCATAAAAATAAGTTATTTAACTTGCAATTTGGGAAAATATTTCTATTTTAGGACTGAAAGTACCCTACAATCACTTAGTTCAACCTTCATTTACCAATTAGGAATGTGAAATCTTGAAAAGTTGTACAGAACTGAGCTGTCTTAGGAATCAGGAAGCTGACTGCCTCCTGACAAACCTACCCAATATAACAAACTATTCTTACCTCACTCTCTATCCTGGACTTCAGCAGGTCAATGTCTTCAGATAACTTATCCACCTGGGTAACCAAGCCCTGTGCACTCTGCATGCTGGGCAAGAATTCACTGTACTTCTTGCTAATCATATTGCACACCTCACCCTGTAAGACAGAAGAATTATAAAATAGCGAGATGAGTAGAGACCTCTTTTAAAAATACACAGTCTTGGCTCGGCACCTGTGGCTCAAGTGGCTAAGGCGCCAGCCTAATACACCTAAGGTAACGGGTTTGAATCCAGCCTGGGC